ACTCTGATCTTGGTTCATCTTTAGGTTTATGGTTTACACCATTCTTACACATTAGATATTTAAATGTTTAGATGTTTCTGGACACATTATTTATATAGGTGCCAATTGATTCTTAGAACTACGCATTCTCAGCCTCCCATATCTCTGACAATACTTGCTCTGTGACATTTGATAAGGTAGAGTTAACCATTTTAGTATAGTTTTTTTACACTGCATATTTCATTTGATGGTTTGATATACTAATTTTTTTGCTTTTTCTTTTCCCCATTGCAGAAACATACTTTTTATTGTTGAACTTTTACCTATACTGTTTTGATTATATGACCATTGTTCTTCCTCTTTACTTTCAACTGCTGTGTCTAGCTAGCACTTCACTTTCTTTTATTTAGTTTGCATCTCTTATATATGTTTTGAGTATGAACCCTTCCCCACCCACAATGTGCTGCGTTTTAAAGTTGAACACCAGAAGCCTTCATTTCTTGAGCACTTGACAATTATAATTTATTTATCTTTTCTGTAGATAAATGCATTATCACAGGGAGGTTCATGATTTACATCTATTAACATGAGACCACATGATATACCATTTGGCCCATGCAATAAAGACAACATCTTTTTTATATAATAATGTTTATGTAAATTATATTATGCATTGGTGTGTGAGTTATGATCCAGTAATGTGCTTGTTATTATATAGGTGATAAGGGTGCCATGAAAGAATTTTAGTTTTCCCTCTCTCTCTCTCTCTCTCTCTCTCTCTCTCTCTCTCNCTGTTGTTCACCATCTTAGCTGTAGAGGGCGCAGCATCACTGGCCCTCATGTGGGATCCGAACCAGGGCCCTGCTGCTCAGAGCTGGCGCTTCCAAGCCAACTCTTAACCAACTCACCACTCGGCTGGCCCTGTCCCCTTTCTTAGAGGAAATTTTAAATGGCTTGGGTGCTGTTTATTATGGCACTTTTTCCTCTTTTCTCAGGGGTCTTCCTCTACTACTGTTGTCCCCTGTAACCATAGCAACTGGCAGTTATACTAGAGGGAGTTGTGTTCAGCTTGGAGCCAAATAGGAGGGAAGACAGACAAAAACAAATCTTATTGGGCAGTTAGTTCTCTGCTTATTTGCAGAGAAGGGCTGCAAGAAGATTCTAAAAAAACATGAGATTGTCTCCTCATTGATGAATTCTATTCAATTCTGGTACGGTGCTAGGTACTGTGGTAGTAAGTAGGCCTGGTATTGGTCTCTGCAGCCTATGTGTGAGATCTTGCATTTTGCAGGGCCTGTGTACCTGGCACACATCTGAGATCGTAAACATTCAGTGTCATGTGCATATGTATAAAGGCCATGTATTTTATACCGTAAGCAATTCTGATTTTATTTTTAAGGGAAGGATAAGATTATATGTCTAAATTTCATCTTATTTTTTTGTATCTCCAGTTTTCTTTCTCGAAATGTGTATTTACTTATTTTTTTAATATTACTAATCATTTTGATTGGATAATCTATGTACATAGTACAAAATTCAAAAGGTAGAAAGGAGTATAATATGGTATAAGTCTTCTTCCTATCTACCTCTCTATTTCCCTCTCCAAACGAGAATTTCTCATGTATCTTTCCATATTAGTGTATGTTTGTGTGTAATTTTTGCAAGGTGCAGCATATTCTGTACTTTGTTTTTCTTTTTCACATCAGAGTACAACTTGGCAATTGTTCTGTATCAGGTCAAACAGAGCTGCCTTGTTCTTTTAAGTGGCTGAGAGGGACCCTAGAAAGTACCTACTCTAAGTTACTTGTTTTTCAAAGGAGGAAAAATTTGAGTCCCAACAATACTGAGTAACTGGTTAGGATTCTGTTTTACAGTGAACTGACTTTTCATTGATGTGTACTTGGTCATTTTTTAAAATAGGCTTTGTTTATTAGAGCAGTTTTAGGTTTACAGTAAAATCAAATGTAGGAAATTTCCCCTACTCCCACCCATGCACAACCTCAACCACCCTCATTATCAGCATCCCTGACCAGAGTGGCACATTTATTACAATTGATGAACTTGCACTGACACATCATTATCACACAGAGTCCATAGCTTGCATTATGGTTCACTCTTGGTGTTGTACATTCTTTGGGTTTTGACAAGTGTATAATGACATGTATCTACCTAGTCGTCCCCCTCCCCCACCTTTAACTCCTGGCAGCCACTGGTCATACTGTCTCCATACTTTTGCCTTTTCCAGAATGTCATATAGTTGAAATTACCAGTATGTAGCCTTTTCAGATTGACTTCCTTCACTTAATAATATGCATTTAAGTTTCCTTCATGTCTTTTCATGGTGTGATAACTCATATCTTTTTAGAGCTAAATAATATTTCATCGTTTGGACATACCACAATTTTTCCGTTTACTTACTGAAGACATCTTCGTTGTTTCCAAGTTTGGGCAGTTATGAATAAAGCTGCTCCAAACATTTTTGCACAGGTGTGTGTGTGGACATAAATATTCCGCTCCTGTGGGTGAATACTGAGGAGTGCAATTGCTGGATCGTATGGTATGTTTAGTTTTGTAATAAATCATCAGACTGTCTTTCAGAGTAGCTGCACCATTCTGCATTCCTTCCAGCAATGAAGGAAAGTCCCTGTTGCTCCACATCCTTGTCAGCATTTGTTTTTGTAAGTGTTCAGAATTTTGGCCATTTAATAGGTGTGTAATGTTATCTCATTTTAATTTGCATTTCCCTGGTGACATAAGATGTGGATTCTCTTTTCATATGTTTATTTGCCATCTATATAGCTATGTTCTTTGGTGAGGTTTCTGTTCTCATCTTCTGACTTTTTTTTTTCTTTTTTAAAGATTTTTTTGGGGAATTGGGGGAGGAGAACACACAAGTTGCTGTCCTTTTTGTTCTTC